TTCTATATGACTTCACAATGACGTCATCAGGTAATTTTAAATTGATAAGTAGTTAAAAATCATAGGCAGGCGTAATGCTCTCGTGTGATGTTATGATTCGTTTTGTATCCATGGTAACAAGTGTGACGTAATTTCCTTTAGTTCTTTGTCGTCGTTGATTGACTCCAAATCTATGTTTTTGCTGCATCGTCATTTTATGATAAACTTTACAATTTGAGGTGTTTTGAAATAAAAAAGTTAGACGATCATGGATCGCTTACGTGTGCTTCCTGTAGCTGCGACAATGGTATTTCATTTTCACGATAGAGTCTTTGTTTGAAATAAGTCAAGACAGAATTAAGTTAATATAGATCATTTTCTACATTATAATTTTAAWTTACCGAACTGAAGTCTAAGACTAACTTCTTTTTAAAGAAGTTTARAAATGCCCTGTCTTTCTAAGTTTTCCATAATTATATAGCTACATTGTAGCTTGACTTACACTCTAAGAGCGTCTATGTTATTCAAAATATGCGAATTCCGTGATTTTTAAATAAATCTGACCTGAAAGGTCATATAAACAATAGAAACGGTAGAGTCTTTGCAGTTTTGTCAGAATTGTATTGCTTTGAGTAATATTTTGATCGTTTGAATCATATAAGAACTAGTATATTTTGAAGACCTTTGAGTGTGTTGAACGACACGCTCTGAAAATTAGGCTGAACATCTTTTAGTGTAGGTCTACCACGAACGGGGSTTGATTTCCTTCATTCTCTTGATCAGCTAGTCTCCTCTCGCAGCCGCTAGGAAGTTCGTTCTCAGGTCACTCCCCCCTAACGGCTGGTCCTAAATCGATTTAATAAAAATTCAAACTCTTTGTTTGACGCTCGGACTGATGATAAAAGCAAAAGGCATCCAGATGAATTACTGCAAATGATTTTTTAGCGTGCCATCTGTATAATTCCACAAACATTGACTTATTTTGAGTTCGAACTAAACCAAAACACGGACTTTGACAGATTTTACCCGGTAGACTTCACAAGTTTTGATTGGCTGTTCAAAACAAAGGGAATGGAATGTTGRTCCAGTTGAAGCAGCCGTTAGGGGGGAGTAACCTGGGAACGAACGTCCTAACGGCTGCGAGAGGAGACTATTGATCAATTTGCTTTTCTTGGTCACAAAAAAAAAACTTACACTGTCGCTAATAAAAAGTGARGCTAGACATCGCGATTAGGCCACAAGGCCGACAGATGTACAAAAACTGAATACATGTCAAAAATGATAGTAAGCGCGGATTGGTTTAGTTTGACATCCCCATGGAAACTGGGACTGCAGACCATCGGCAACGCAGGCGCTACCAATTTGAAGCCCAATATTTACGAAGGAGAAAAGTCCACAGGAATCCCACGTAATTAAAACAAGCAATTTGGACAAGTATAAGTGTCATCTTAGGATCCGCCATCTTTGACCGCAATCTTGATTTTATNCTTACACATGTTAACGCTCGAACAAGTTCTTTTCCTGCCCTCATTTTGTAGTAATATTCCATGCTGTGAAATCCCAGGTAAAACTGCAATGCTTCACCAGATGTCTTTTGTGCAGCACCACTGATGATTCTCAAAGATTGATTCAGCACCTTGTCCATTTTACTAAACTGAGTCTTAGAAATCGGGCAACACAAGTGTAATCCATATTCCAACCGACTAACTATTGTGGCTCTTACCAATGTAACCAGACTTTTTAACTGAATATTTTGACCAGCCGCATAACGTATCACTCCTAATGCTTTCTTAGCTTTATTGATGTTGTTGGCGATGTGGCCTAGCATGCTAAGTCTTGAATCTATTACAACACCGAGGTACGTCACTTCCTTTTCTTGCCTCACCTTCTCTTGAGCATATCTTAACGATAATTGATTACGATCGACATGACGCAGGGTGACTAACATCCAGCAAACTTTATCTGGTTGTATTCTCATGCGATTTTCAACTGTCCATGATTCAAGCCTATCACTTGCAATTTGGAGTTGTTCAACCGCCTTTACCGGTGATTCACTCACGCAACTTATGATGATGTCATCAACATATGAGAATGGATCGGTCTCTTCGTCTTTCGTCCAACTTATTATACTTTAGCAAATTAAGAGATTACTTCACCACTCTAAGTTCCATGCTCAAATATATCGTGATAAAATAAAAAGCACTTATTCAATTGTATTGTATTTCAGGAGGTAGTATTTGAACAGTGAAGCTAACAGTTCCATACTCATCGAAAATGTATCGATGCTTGATGGGAATTATGTTCCTGATTTGGAAAGTGCAATGTGTCCAACGTCATCGTAAGTAATACAAACAAAAATGAAATATTTTTCTTTCTTTCTTTCTTTAGCTTAAAAACTTTTACTTTCCTTTGCCCAAGAATAACAGAAATTGAAATACAACATGGGTATTATTTTCAAAACGTCATTAGCAGCAATCCCGGACAAGATGGCATCCATCTTGATATGTATGAACTTGAACGGACAATTTCAACGTGATTTCGGATCCGCCTATAAAATGTATGGGAGTATAATTTAAAAGGAAAACTATGTCTTGTCACTTTTTACAGGGGTATTTTCAGCTCTTCGATCGATCAGCTTATTAGCCCTAAATGTACTTACCAGAATAAATTTAAAATGCCTACATCAGCATTTTGTTATGTCAAAATACAGCTCCAATTACAGAGGGCATACATTCTTACTAAATGTCCAACAAAATCATCAATTAAAAGTCCACACTGCAATGACATAAATCCATTTTCCGCTGTTTCACACCACTTATTAACAGGGCATTTGTTTTTTCCGTATTTCATATTAAGGTATTTTCATCTCTTCAGTTCGATATATCTGATATATGCCTGATAGAAATTGAGGGGAAACGCACTTCGCACGCGTGGAAGAAAAATAATCTTGCACAATATCCAAAAAGTTATGAAAAATTCCGAAAAGTTAACAGTGTCTTTAAATTTTTATTTTCAACACCCTACTTAAGAATATACAAAAACGTTTTAGCATATAAGAAGAAATATATTTGCCCGCATTTATGTGGATAAACTCTTCACGATTAGCATTTTTACTAAATTCACCATGACAATGTGCAAAGAAATCGCACACGGCTCCAGTGCGGGACGGACACATATATACATAATATCGTTGACATTATTGGGAACCCTGTGTCAGTAGGGCCACATGGGTCACATGCATATATTGTAATCGGGTTTTGCAGCTATACGTGAAGCGTTCACAATAATTTTGTACGCCTCAATAAATCAAAGCTTTCCATGAGTTCCATTTTCCACTCTTTACAATCCATTATTCGCAAACTAAACTTGTCTGCAAGTCGCTTTTTGTGGTAAAATATCAGTCATGTTCGATTTTCCTTGACAAAGAAAAATGTCAAGGACGAAATTTGCTCGTGTAAATGGACGTGGCAAGGAAAAATTGTTAAGGAAAACTTGTTCTTCGTTTACACTTGCAAAGAAACATTGTCATGGAAGAATTGTCGAGGAAAACCTGTTGACCATTTACACGGACAGTTTTTCMTTGTCAAGAAACCTGTCAAGGAAAAATTGCTCGTGTAAACAGCGCTTAAGTTTTCAGTTAAACAAACTTGTGAATGATAAGACTAGTACGGACTTCTTTCTTGAGTTTAGATTTGAACCAATTTATCGAAAATTCATCGCCGATAAAGTGATATAATCACCTGCCACTTTTAGTCCATAGCCTCCTACGCTGTTGCTGCGCTTTCCCGTAATAACACCCTTTGCAGTGTTGCTCGCTCTTTTTAAAAACTTTGTTAGCACACAGGACATTAAAACATTTTCGATAAGGGTGCATRGAACGAGCATGACAAAAACAATATGATATTTTATTGGTCTAMAATATAACGTGGTATTCCGCAGGATCCAAGAGTTTGTTTCGCTTTTGGCGGTTTTTTTGTGTGGTAATTTTTGCAAAAACGGGGAAAAATTCAGTAACTCTTACTTCCACTGGCCTTCAGCCTTTAGAGAAAACAAAGTTCTATAAACGTGACAAGCAAAAGTATCTGTAAAATAAATCGCTTAACCATTTAGTCACACTATCTTAATGCTAACGTTAATCATTAAGAATATATTTCAGGACTATTGAACAAGAATATTTGCCGTCATTTAGCCG